AAGTCCCGAGTCATTGGTGTTCAAGTCGAATCGCAAGTGTTTTGTGATTTTGTCAAGTCGAGTCTCAAGTCATCAAATTGGTGACTCGAGTCTGACTCGAGTCCAAGTCATGTGACTCGAGTCCACACCTCTGGAGATTACTATTTCACAACACAGATAAGAACAATGATATGCTGGTGTAACCAGGGCTCGAAATTCACTTTTTTCCTCAGTGTCCCACAACTGTCCCGAATTCTACTTTGTATTGTCCCGGATATAACCAGCAGTGTCCCAAATTTAAATGTGTATCGTCGCCCCCCCAATTATGCAGAATACATATAATTTGATACTTTTTTGTCACTTAATCATCACACCATAGACTCTGGTCCACCATGTAAGTTTAAAATATTGTTCTTTTAAACATATGAATATTAGTCTGATCTGTTGCCTCTCCTAGAGTAGAAGGGAAGAGAGTGTTTTAAGACATGTTTTCTATTGTTTCTCAATATCCAGACTAATTTATCATTGTCATGTCAAACATTGAAGAATTCTGATTTGTATTTTTCAATTCAATATGGTATGGCTGTATGGTCTCTGTGTTTTATGATCGGAACCCTCATCTGGCAATACAAGTGGTATGAATGACAGAAGTTCCATAATACAGTTTAATAAATGTATCTGTTTCAGTTCTAATTACAAGTTATCCTCACAAGTCAGTAGTACTATAGGAATATAAATTGATCTTCTATCTTCATTCATGAATGTCAATCATCTTGCTCTCACTCATTCACCCCCCCCCCCCCCCACCCCACACAACACCCCCCCCCCCCCCCCCCCCCCCCCCCCCCCCCCCCCCCCCCCCCCCCCCCCCCCCGGCACAAAACAACTGGAACATTACTTCTCTCTTACATGACACATTATTCTCATACCAGAGTTGATTCTTGACAAACTAAAATTACCTTGCGACCGCCCTTCTAATCGTCCCCCAATTGACTGACGTTCTTGACCCCAAAAAACTAAAAACACTAAAAAACGATGAAAAGCTAAATGATTAGCTAAATGCCTTACGTTTTTGCAGCTAAAGATTCTAGCCTGGTCACTGACTGGCTGACAAAGAAAATACAAAAATTATCGGCTACACCTCTTATTCTGATCAACTGTATTTCACATCATTTTCACAAACTTCAAAGAACATGACACCGCATTTTAGGACGTTTGTATGCATTGTAAGGCACACTTCAGTAGCTAGCGTTAGTTAGCGCTAGCTAACATTGACACTTAAGACAACTAACTTACCACAGTGGAAGACGATGCATCATGACCAGGACTTGGGATGTTTTCGTTTCGGGAGTCGGCAGAATTGGGGCTTGCATCAGGGGCTGTTTATTCAACCACCTCAGCATTTCTTTCTACTTTTTGTAACTGTCGTGACCGTTGCATTGGCGCGAGTCTAGCAGCAGTCAGCAGCAGAGTGGATGACGGAGAATGCATTCTATGATTGACAGCCCAATGACTTTGCAAATAACACCCATTTTGAAGTTTACTTTTAATTTTTTTTTCACTGTCCCAAAATAGTCCCAGACCAAATAGATTTGTGTCCCAGTAGGAATTGTTATGGTCCCCGGGACATCGGGACATCGTTAATTGCGAGCCCTGGGTGTAACCCAGCATATGATGCTCAATGGAAACATATAGAAGAGAGGGTGTACTCCCATAGGCAAATATAGCTGACAATAACCTACACAATTTCATAAACATTATAGAAAATGAAATGTTCTCTTAAAATGTGGAAAACAATAATAAAGAATATAAATTGGAGAATGATACTATCTTTCTCAAAATGGTGTGCATATGACTCGGATGTCATGCCTAACAGATTGGACACTAGATTTAGGGACTGGGCTCTAAAAGGTCTAACACTCTGTGCAAGCTGATGAAAGGGGGAGCATTGCTCAGTTTGGATACCCTTAAAGAGAAATACACTTTGGAGAAACAGGACTTTTATCAATACCTTCAGGTACGGCATTATGTTTATTTGAAAGTGGAAAAAGTGTAGGTTTGATAGAAATGTTGAGGAAAGCGTATAACACAGATGTTAACGGTAGAACCATATCATGTGAATACTAAGGATTGACAAACCTTAAAAAACACTCAACTACTTACATAATACAGAAGTGGGAGCAGGAAGGAGGGATACATATATCTGGAGAAGAATGGGTAACAATGTGGAGATATCAATGGAAATGTACCAGCTGGCAGAACTGGAGGGAATATACCTGGAAGAACCTGATAGGATATTGTATTCCCCCTCTCAGAAGTCCCACTATGAGAGGACCCCCCTATATGTTGGAGGAACTGTGGTGACCAGAATGCAAACCACTTCCATGTATTCTGGGACTGTCCAGGTATCAAAGACTACAGGAAGGAGATACACAACGCCTTACAAGACATTTTCAAAGACATGATACCTCTAGAGATCAAGATTTTACACTTTGTGAATTTGAGAAAGGACAAATACTCATTGAACATTCTGCTGGTTGCTGCTAAAAAGGCATTAACCAGGAGTTATCGAAGCATAGCCCGACTCTAAATGGATGGATGGACATCTCAATGGATATTTACAATATGGGAAAGATAACAGCATCTGTCAATCATACATTGGTCAATTTACTCCAACCTGTGAGAAATGGACTCACTTTGTAAAGCCCTAAAGGCCTGACTTAGTTTTCACAGATCCAGAACTCTGCTGTAAAGAAATGTCTAATTCCTAATTTAGTGGGAATGCTGATACAGCATTCCTACTTCTTCTACGCACAAAATTCTTTGTTATTCTTGGTTATTTTGTCCGTCTTCTTCTCCTACATTCCACATCAAAACGTTCAGCTCGGTCGGGAATTGAGTGTTATTACTTTTCTTATTCATAACTTTTCATTAATTCCTGAGATATATCCCATAATTCATCACATTTTTAACATTGAAGTCAATGGAGAAACTCTTCAGACTTGAAACATCTTCATGCGACTTTATCTGCTAACTGTTCCTTCATACTTTCACTCAGAAACCTCATTCCAACTTTAAATGTTACACATCTTTCTGACATTATTCATATTAAACTACTTTTTAAATCAGATTCATACTTTTAGAAATATTAAACATTGTTCAGACCTTGGTAAAGAGGCCTTCTTCAGATGTTAACATCTGTGTGTATTGTGCAGCTCGTTAAGGCTAGAGTGCGTGATCTCAAGAGTGGAGGACAGCTTGAAATTCACCTTCATATATTTTTTTAAACCTGCCATGATAATTTTTCATGAGAAACGTAGGAAAACATCTCGTAGCTTGAAAAATAATTAAACAAAATGCCTCTTGAGGGCATGAAGTGACAAAAAACTTTCAACATGTCTTCATTAAACTCCATTGTAAATTCAAGCCGATCTTTACGCACACCTTTAGTTAATTTGCCAAAAAGGCCTCATTATTAACCCGAAAGTACACAAAAAGCACACTTTAGATAATCAAGTTTCTTGAGATGCTTCACGCGTTGAAATTTTACCGATATCTGTTACAGTTCTTCAACAAAACGTTCAGATGTAAGAGGTTTATCTCTCATTCAGAACAATGGAAAGACTCTCCTCTGACTGATCACCATGGAAACCTTTGATCTCTGGACATGCACAGCTGTCGTCGTTAGCTCAAATATAAACACCTGTGTCATGGAACACGATGATGTCATAACTCCAACTGACATGCTCAGAGCAGCAGACTTCAGATAATGGTTAACACAGCTCCACCAAATCTGATGTTACGTAATGTGGTGTTACTATGGCAACGCATCCCTCGCCATAAAACATCAGCAGACTTCAGATAGAGGTTAACACAGCTCCACCAAATCTGATGTTACGTAATGTGGTGTTAATATCCCTCGCCATAATGCAGAGTTCAGATAATGGTTAATGGTGATGCCCTCAACAGCTCTACGTTAATTATCGGGTGTCTTCATATGCCGTTTCCATGCAAACGCATCCCTGCACAATGTCGCTGTAACTCCAATTGACATGGTCCGATCACCCCCAAAACTTCGCTTGTATATCACCGGTCCATGCCTCAACAGCTCTACGCCAAATCTGAGATCTCACCATATGCCGTTTCCATGGAAACACATCCCTAACCATAAAACACGATGTTGTCGTAACGTCTATGAAAAGGGTCAAAACAGCAGCAGACTTCAGATAATGGTTAATGCTCCAGCCCTCAACATGTCTATGTGCCAATAGTGAGTTTTCTCCCTCGCAATAAAACACGATATTTCTATAACTCCTATAAAAAAATTCAAAAAGTGCTCAAACTTCACAGGTGTGCTAACAGTCCAGCCATGAACACATCTACGGGACAGTTTTGAGATTTTTTCAAATGCCGTTGCCATGGCAACGCAATGCTTGCCATGAAAACACGGTTTTCTCATAACTTCAGTGAAAATGCTTGGTTACGATGCAGCCATCAACACATCTAAGCGTATTATGGGGTGTCATCAAATGCCGTTGCCATGGCGACAGATAATTCGCCATCAAGTTAGTTCAAAAGATTGCAGTTCAAATATTCTGCTGCTTTTCCAAGCCTTTTCACTTTCTTTTCTTCTCTCATCACACATTCAAGCCCCCAGTGTTCATGTATCATTTCAATCTAAATTCTTCACTTTCTTCTTATACAGTACATTTCAGCATAGCAGTTTAGTGTCAGCTTTTCAGCATAAAGCATTCCCACGAGCAATTTCTGCAGTAATTGCATTCTCTAGTTGCTCACTGTTGTTCTTTTTGTGTCATCATGTGTATATTGCCAAAAAGAACTATGAACAGATGTATGTCCTTCCTGTAAAGATGCAATGTACAATATGCTGTGACAATGTTTGACACTAAATGCCAATAAAAGTAAATAACAATCAAAAAGCTTCCTCTAAGAAGGTACGGTACCAGCAGCTAGGACTCATGTTGGATAGAACATCATCCTGACTGTGTTTCTTCCTCCAGGCTGGACCATGGTGGAGAGCAGAGGCTAAAACCAGGTCTGAGGAAGTGTAAGTGTGGATCAGTCAGCTTCTCTCTAAAGACAAAGATGATGGGGGTGGTATTTATTCATTAAAACATGAGTGGCATGCATCGCCTTTAAACTTTATAATAATAATAATAATAATAATACATGACACTTATATAGCGCTATTATAGAAAGGATCACTAACAGAGAGTAAAGCCTTCAGGTGGGTCTGATGATAAACCAGCCTGTCCTCCTACAAAAAACAACCATGATTGTTCATGCCCTTATTACAACCCAGAGACACGTTTTAAAGTGTATGTTGTTTCTCACACGACCACTAGAGGTGCTCTAGTGGTCGTGTGAGAAACAACATGCTCCCGGCCCGTGCATTGCAAACGCTCCGGAGGGACGTTTATTCACAAATAACCCTCTCTGGAAAATCCTAAATTGTGGAATAGTTTGGCCATTAAAATGCTTTTTGATTCGATTTCTGGCGAGAAGTGTATATTGTACTCTTAGAATCCACGTCCAGTGGATGTGTAGGATCTATAGTTTGATAGATATACGATGATGATTTGAGATCTTGCCAGGATAACGTGTGCAGCTTCCATGTAAAGTTAGCGTGGGTGAAAACAGTTTTTCCGGTCTCGAAGTTTTCATAATGAAACCGGATATATTCCCCTCACTGTCAAATGATTACACAGTGATATCTGCATTACTCATCCACTAAGAAACATCAGTTTATCCTTGTTAATTACACAATATTGATTGGTTTAAATTGTGTACAATGCTTTTGTGTTTTTAACCTTTGATTCAGAGAAACAAATAGTTTTTTAGGAGTTAAGACACTACAGTTTCCGAAGACACTACACTACCCAGAATCCCCAGCTATTGTTTGGGACTACAACATCCGCCTTGCTTTACAAACCCCGTGATTAGTCATCAAGCCCTGTGATTGGATGTTGGAGTGGCAGTGCGACAAGGTTACGCTGAGCGTCAAACAGCTCTATGAAATGGAATGGAACCACGGCAGACTTTCCAAAACTGGAATTGGACGGGTCCAGCCCAGGCCCCCCCCCCCCCAAGACTACACATGCTGGCTATTGTGTGTTTCGCAACATGTTCTCTATGGCACGTCTCTACTGGGAATTGTAGTTTTATAAGACGTTTTCGTATGTCCCACTATTAGAAGTTGCCAGTATTAAACTGTGTACACCCTGGAGGTTTAGGGGATACGAAACACATTGGTGTTATCACATTTAAAACATTTAATTAATAAATGGGTGAAAATTGCTTGTGTCCATAATGGGCACCCACATGACAGCTAAGGTCAGAATAACTTTATTTAACAGCTGGTATTATGTCTGTGACCCCTCCTGTTGTTCATTGATAAGCCTGAAACATGCACTTGTCAAGGTTCAGAGGCACATTTTGCAAATATGGCAGTAGCCATCGATCATCTTAAGATAAGATATACTTTATTGATCCCAAGTTGGGAAATGTTTTTGTTACAGCAGCATACTACTTTGTTCTACTCCACTACAATTCAGAGGTTAACCTGGTATTTTTACTCCACTACATTTATTTTAGTTACTTTGCAGATTCTGATTAATGTGAAATATAAACAACCCTTAAATCAGACTTTAGTTACACCTGAGTCAAATTCAGGGAAGGTGATTGTCAAGTGCCAAAATAAACTATGCAATATATTGGACGTTAAGTACTTTGTCAGACTTCATATTTATCTGTGGATAACCCCAACGTTTTTTTCTTATTCAAAAGAAGACCTTAACTTAAAGTATTCTTTAATGTTTAAATAAAGCCTTATTAGTTTGTCTGTTTTGCACATCCTCCTGTTAATATCTTTGGACGTCCTGCACTAAACTGTTTTATTGTAGAGATCACTACAGTATCTTCTTGATATTTTCTATTCTATATATCTATCATGCCTTCTACTTTCCCCACATTTTGTATGTAGGCTACTCTTAATATTTAAATGTTTTCATCAAATAAAACGTATTCAACAACAACATTCAATAACGTGCTTTAACCACTAGGCGGCGTGGGTTAAAAAACCAGTGGTGTAGTTAATAAAACATATCACACACATGACTATTAACTTTATTGTGAAATCAAAACAGAACGGTAAAGGAAAATACAGTTCCAGTCTCTCGATGTGAAGCTTATGCATTGTACCATGAACCTGTATAGACCTGTAACAGTCAACTGCATGAGGAGTTGGAAAGGTAGTAAATAATATCTTTAAAAACTACAAACAAATCCCTTTCTATCAGCTGTGCACCGTTATGGTGTAAATACAGCCTATCTACCGATTGGATCAAATATAAAAGTCAGCCGAATTAGTGTTGATACTGCAAGGAGACGTATTGTGTGAAAAGAAATAGAAGATGTTGTTTAATTGCTGATATATTTATGATCCACGTCACGTATTCAGTTTTGGCGGCAGTTCCTCATGTTTGTCTAGAAGTCTTCTGATCAGAGCTCTATAAATAGAGAACTACGGCAGATATGTAATATTTAATGCAGCCGAACCGTGTATTACAATGCCGGTATGTGATGACTTCCAAAGAGAAAAGCAAGCACACTCGGAATAAAGTATTATTTTTCCAAAAAAAAAATCCGATTTCATATCGAATAAACACCATATCCCAACATGCATTGCGGCTAAAACAATCGATGTTTTAGCCTATCAAAACCTCTGAAAAAAGAAAGGTGTCTCTCAGAATCGAAAGAGAAAAACCTATGGGAAAAACACAAAAGCATTGTACACAATTTAAACCGATAAATGTCGTATAATTAACTAGGATAAACTGATGTTTTTAGTGGATGAGTACTGCAGATATCACTGATATCATTTGATCATTGGTTTTATTCTGAAAACCTCGAGACCGGAAATACTGTTTTCAACCCGTAACTTTACATGGACCTTAAAGAACTCATTATACCCTACTGTCTTACTAGGGCATTGCGTTCCAAGAATGCAGGGTTGTTGGTTGTTCCTAGAGTCTCTAAAAGTACAATGGGAGCCAGAGCCTTTTCTTATCAAGCTCCACATTTGTGGAATCAGCTTCCAGTTTGTGTTCGGGCGGCAGACACCCTATCCGTTTTTAAGAGTGCGCTTAAGACCTTCCTTTTTGATAAAGCTTATAGTTAGGGCTGATTAGATCCAGCCCCTAGTTTAGCTGATATAGGCTTAGTTTGTCAGGGGACATCTTACTTCTTCCTTCTCTCTGTCTATACCTGTGTACTCTCATGTTCCCATTAACCCAGCTTCCCCAAATGTCTTTCTTTTTGGTGTCTATATACGCCGGGATCCGGAGTCATGGATGATCCTGCGCTCCTCTGTCCTGGATCGCGAGCCCTGGATCTTGAGTCGTGGCTGTGGTCCTGGATCATAGGCCCTGGATGGATATCCTCGTGGATTCATCTTCCTATTATACACACATGCATTTCCAAACATTTGGACTACCTATGTTGCAAATGTATTATCTTTTCAATTTACACACGGCATCTATTGCACGTCTGTCCGTCCTGGGAGAGGGATCCCTCCTCTGTTGCTCTCCCTGAGGTTTCTCCCATTTTTCCCTTTAAACTGTGGGTTTCTCCGGAAGTTTTTTCCTTGTACGATGTAAGGGTCTAAGGACAGAGGGTCTAAGGACAGAGGGTGTCGTATTGTCATACTGATATTTTGTACAAACTGTAAAGTCCACTGAGACAAATGTAACATTTGTGATATTGGGCTATATAAATAAACATTGATTGATTGATTGATGGAGGCTGCCGCATACCTCAAATCATCTTCGTAATATCTATCAAACTATAGATCCTACATATCGACTGGACGTGGATTCTAAAAGTACAATATACACTTCTCGCTAGAAATCTAATGAAAAAGCGTTTTAATGGACAAACTATCCTACAATTTAGGATTTTACAGAGAGGGTTATTTGTGAATAAACTACCATCTGTAACGTTTGCATTCAACGGGAGCACTAGAGGGCGAAAACTTTAAAACGTAATTATAGGACGTTTTAAGCGCTTGAACAAACAACATATTTGGTCGTAATAAGGGCCCGAACAATCGGCCTATTTGGTCGTATGAGTTGGAGGACTTGTTGTGATAAACTGTTGTCTGTGTCTCTCATCAGATTCCTGTGAACTCACCCTGGACTCAAACACAGCACACAGAGAACTCAAACTGTCTGAGGACAACAGGAAGGTGACACGGGTGGGAGAGGAGCCATATCCTGATCATCCAGAGAGGTTTGACTTCTGGAAACAGCTGATGTGTAGAGAAGTTCTGACTGGTCGCTGTTACTGGGAGGTCGAGTGGAGAGGAGGGGTTTGTATATCAGTGACTTACAGAGGAATCAGGAGGAGAGGAGAGAGAGAGGACTGTAGGTTTGGACAGAATGATCAGTCCTGGAGTCTGAGCTGCTCTGATAGAGGTTACTCTGTCTGGCACAATAAGAGAGAAACACTCATCTCCTCCTCCTCCTCCTCCTCCTCCTCCTCCTCCTCCTCCTCCTCCTCCTCCTCCTCCTCCTCCTCCTTCTCCTCCTTCTTCTCCTCCTCCTTCTCCCCCTCTCGTAGAGTAGCAGTGTATCTGGATCATCCTGCTGGCTCTCTCTCCTTCTACAGAGTCTCCTCTGACAGACTGACCCACCTCCACACCATCAGAACCACATTCACTGAACCTCTCTACACTGGGTTTGGGTTATGGTTAGTGTCAGGTGTCTCCTCAGCGTCTCTGTGTCCTCTGTAGGAGGAGATCACTTCCTGTCCTGGGTTTAAGGGTTGGTGTTTTAAATCTGGCTCACTGATTGTGTCTTTACTGTCAGAAGTATTTTTATCAGAGAGGCTTTTATTCTGAAGGCTGTGTCCTGAGAGAGTCTTTTATTCTGAAGGCTGTGTCCTCAGAGAGTCTTTTATTCTGAAGGCTGTGTCCTCAGAGAGTCTTTTATTCTGAAGGCTGTGTCCCCAGAGGCTTTTATTCTGAAGGCTGTGTCCCGAGAGAGACTTTTATTCTGAAGGCTGTGTCCTCAGAGAGTCTTTTATTCTGAAGGCTGTGTCCTCAGAGAGACTTTTATTCTGAAGGCTGTGTCCTCAGAGAGTCTTTTATTCTGAAGGCTGTGTCCCGAGAGAGACTTTTATTCTGAAGGCTGTGTCCCCAGAGTCTTTTATTCTGAAGGCTGTGTCCCCAGAGTCTTTTATTCTGAAGGCTGTGTCCTCAGAGTCTTTTATTCTGAAGGCTGTGTCCTCAGAGAGTCTTTTATTCTGAAGGCTGTGTCCCCAGAGAGTCTTTTATTCTGAAGGCTGTGTCCTCAGAGAGTCTTTTATTCTGAAGGCTGTGTCCTCAGAGAGTCTTTTATTCTGAAGGCTGTGTCCCCAGAGAGTCTTTTATTCTGAAGGCTGTGTCCCCAGAGAGTCTTTTATTCTGAAGGCTGTGTCCCCAGAGAGTCTTTTATTCTGAAGGCTGTGTCCCGAGAGAGTCTTTTATTCTGAAGGCTGTGTCCCAAGAGAGTCTTTTATTCTGAAGGCTGTGTCCTCAGAGAGTCTTTTATTCTGAAGGCTGTGTCCTCAGATAGTCTTTTATTCTGAAGGCTGTGTCCCCAGAGAGTCTTTTATTCTGAAGGCTGTGTCCCCAGAGAGTCTTTTATTCTGAAGGCTGTGTCCCGAGAGAGACTTTTATTCTGAAGGCTGTGTCCTCAGAGTCTTTTATTCTGAAGGCTGTGTCCCCAGAGAGTCTTTTATTCTGAAGGCTGTGTCCCCAGCGAGTCTTTTATTCTGAAGGCTGTGTCCCGAGAGAGTCTTTTATTCTGAAGGCTGTGTCCCAAGAGAGTCTTTTATTCTGAAGGCTGTGTCCTCAGAGAGTCTTTTATTCTGAAGGCTGTGTCCTCAGAGAGTCTTTTATTCTGAAGGCTGTGTCCTCAGAGAGTCTTTTATTCTGAAGGCTGTGTCCCCAGAGAGTCTTTTATTCTGAAGGCTGTGTCCTCAGAGAGTCTTTTATTCTGAAGGCTGTGTCCCCAGAGAGTCTTTTATTCTGAAGGCTGTGTCCCCAGAGAGTCTTTTATTCTGAAGGCTGTGTCCCCAGAGAGTCTTTTATTCTGAAGGCTGTGTCCCGAGAGAGTCTTTTATTCTGAAGGCTGTGTCCTCAGAGAGTCTTTTATTCTGAAGGCTGTGTCCTCAGAGAGTCTTTTATTCTGAAGGCTGTGTCCTCAGAGTCTTTTATTCTGAAGGCTGTGTCCTCAGTCTTTTATTCTGAAGGCTGTGTCCCGAGAGAGTCTTTTATTCTGAAGGCTGTGTCCCCAGCGAGTCTTTTATTCTGAAGGCTGTGTCCCGAGAGAGTCTTTTATTCTGAAGGCTGTGTCCCAAGAGAGTCTTTTATTCTGAAGGCTGTGTCCTCAGAGAGTCTTTTATTCTGAAGGCTGTGTCCTCAGAGAGTCTTTTATTCTGAAGGCTGTGTCCTCAGAGAGTCTTTTATTCTGAAGGCTGTGTCCCGAGAGAGTCTTTTATTCTGAAGGCTGTGTCCCAAGAGAGTCTTTTATTCTGAAGGCTGTGTCCTCAGAGTATTTTATTCTGAAGGCTGTGTCCCAAGAGAGTCTTTTATTCTGAAGGCTGTGTCCTCAGAGTATTTTATTCTGAAGGCTGTGTCCTCAGAGTATTTTATTCTGAAGGCTGTGTCCCCAGAGAGGCTTTTATTCTGAAGGCTGTGTCCTCAGAGAGTCTTTTATTCTGAAGGCTGTGTCCCCAGAGAGTCTTTTATTCTGAAGGCTGTGTCCCCAGAGAGGCTTTTATTGGGTGATCAATGTCTCCTTATCAGTTCAGTTATAAGTTGGACAAATGAATCAAAAGTAGGTAAAAAATTGATTCTTGAAAATGCTTTAAGAAAAACAACAGCCTTCATCTCAGCTCTCCAGAGGGTTTACTTTATTGAGTTAGCAGCTCATTCCTTCAAACAGAAACTTCAGTGATTATAATGAGAGGAGATAGAAAGAAAGGTGGGCACACATGAATACCGTGATATATATATTTGTACATATATATTGAAGTAGTACAATATATGATAAGTTTAATTTGTGGGCCATATTTCATTATACTGTCTGAATTAGCTGAGGGCTGAAAGTGTTGTTTAATGTTTAATAAAATGCCGGCTAAGTCAACTTCAGATTGTGTTCCTTCTACGTTTTCCTCCTCATTGAAAATAACCTTCTACATACATCATGTGATCGTGTATTGAGTGTTACAGAGCAACGTGTTTCTTTGTAAAGGCGCTACATTTATTATTAATCTGCAAGAGAGCGAACTGGCTCCTTGAGCAAAACCTCACTATTTTTAAAGTTAGTTTACTCATTTATCTGTGACTTTAATTTCGGCAAATTACAGTCTTGCTATGGCAGTGACACATGGCCGGTCTTTGTGGGGTACTGTTTGGGCTAAAGAACGTATTTTGAGGTGATGGAAGTCTGACGCTGGGCCTACATTTGAGATGAGGCTGAGGGAGTTGGGTGAGATCCTCTACCTGGAGAAACTTAGATTCCAGACTGCAGGAAGGGGAGAGTGTTTGATAAGGCCTGGGCTCCGGTGCTGAGACACTTCAGAGGTCTGGGTGAGGGATGAATGATCAATAATGTTAACCCTGTAACCATGTGTTCTTTGTCCTGATGTGCTCTCTTGGGTTGCTCTCTTGTTTCTAGCATGAATATTGCATTTCTTATTATCTCGTGTTTTAAAAACCACCAACAGCCTGATTGTACTAGTATGTTCTGAATCCGCTGTTTTGTTGTTATGGGAAATGTAAAATATGATTGCTTTGTTATACCAATGTGGTTCCTCCAGCCATTTTCTGCAATAAAAATATTCTTTAACAAAAAGGTCATTACAGAGTTTCTTTCGGCCATTTTGTAAATGAGTTCTTGAGGTTTTTTCATAAATGTCTTTGAACCTGTGGGCCACCGTACACCAGAGCTATAGAGGAGACACTGCAGATAACACTTTAAAACAAAAAGCAACAGATAAGTTGTTGGATATTGATAATGAAGAGTCATTATTTATATATATATATATATACCTTTAAAATATCTGAATATATTTGAGTTGATGTCGTGATATAGGGATTTAAGAAACACTGATGGAGGTTTTCTTTCAGTTTCCTGACGTTGAAAAAGCCAAACAACTGAAGCATTGATCAGTACCAATGACCCACAGCTCCTCTCTGCTCCAGAGGGTTTACAATGTCAGGAAGGAAGAAAGAAACGATGCAAACATTCAAATGAATCAACAGGAAGTCGGAGACAGTCGTTAAAAATGAGTTGTTTTTATAGCAATAATGCAAAGTCATATTTCCCCTCATTAATGATGCAGACACAGGATCAGAACAACTGAACATTACAATCATGTGTTTTCACTTCAGGACGACAGCGGGAAATAAAACAGATATTTCTATCTGAACTTGTGGATTTCATCTCTTGGACATTCAGTCTGACGTCCTCAGATCTTCAGCATGAAAGCTCTCACACAAACATCCTCAGAGTCTCCATCAAGTGGCACAGCACTGAAAACATGCACTCTGTGGCCAAAAGCACGTGCACACCAAACTGCACTTTAAACGGGATGCTCATTCAGTTTGGATGTTTTTTCTTTAGTGACCTCGTCCAGCAGAAAAGAACTAAATAAATACATCTGATTAATCACGACATGATTACCAGGAAAGAGGGGGATCAGAACCACCAAACAAATCATATGTATCTTTACATCTCAAGCCATCCTCTTCCTCTTGGGAATGCTGCATTGCTTTTAGGATTTCAAAACATACTTAAATCTGTTTAAGTGGAAAAAAGTCAGACTTAAATCTCAGAATTACTGAAGCTGAAGCGAGGAAGCTCAACAAAAAAAAAATCATAAATGATGTTGGTAATCTTTCGCGCTCGATAAAAGTATTCTAACGTTCAGACAATTCAATCTGCTTTTCTCTCCGTATCGTACTTTGTTTTATTAAAGTGAATATCTTTGGACATTTGAAGACCACACACACACACACACACAGTTTTCATATGAGAAGGATTATGTCACAAGCAGAACATTTAATAAAACATGAACTAAAAGCTGATTAAGATCATTCTCTCTCCTCGTTGTTGTTTCAGTAGAAAATAAAAAACCAAGTGACAACTTTTTTTTCACATTAAAAATAATTTCAAATCATGAGTAACGCAGGTGAGTCTGTTGGCTTCTCTGTAGACACTCACTCTCTCTCACACACACACACACACACACACTCCGTCACACTCTCTCACCCTCTCAAAGGAAAATGGCGGCTGTCGTCGGGCAGATAAGGCAGAAACCCCGCAGCAGCGTCCTCTCAGCTGCTTCTTGGAGATTAATACTTAAAAATAGAAAAAAGTGACGTGTTTTAATAAAAACTCTTTGTGGGCGCCTGGTTCTGGTTCTGGTTCTCAGTGTCAGTTAGAAACCGATAGTCTCTGAAGAAAAAGCTCAGTGGAACTCCACGAACTCCTCCAGGGTTTTGGGGATCTGGTTGCGGTACGTGATGCGATGCCTCCGCACCGCGCGCGCCGCCAGGCACTTCAGACTCATCTTCATCTGCGTCTTCAGCAGGATCTCCGACACGCCCGTGGTGCTTTTGTCCAGCGGCGTCTTTAAAGACAAAGTCAACTTTAGTGTCAAAATACAAGCAAGATCATTTCTGACGTGAATCTGAAGAAACATTGAAAAAGTCAGCATTTTGAGAAAAAGTCTCACGAGTGCCTCTTTTTTTCACTTCTCCCCGGTTCTGTTGATTATAATTTTTTTGGCTATTTCACCCGGTTCCTTCTACCGGGACACTGCCCCCCCGACGGCCTGTGTCCAGCCCCCCCCCCACTCATCCACATATAACGGATTTTGACACATTGTTGCATTTTTCTCCTCCTCTCACTGATCGAATGGCAACGCGACCCACCATCAGAGGGCCTCCGCCGGCCTGGCCTAGTGCCGGTGCTCTGGCGGTCGGTTCCTCCGAACTGCAGGTTCGACTCTGATGGCCGGGAAGGTGTGCTGCGTTGGGGTGGGGGACTTCCCCCACTCTGTGTGTCTCTTCCTACCCGGGCCGGCCAATATGAAGCGTGACCAAGACGCACCGTCTGACTCAGGGGTCCCACCACGGGTCCCACCACGGGTCCCGCAGCGGGGTGGAGGTTCCGGGTTGGAACCCCCCACGATGACTCAGACTCGACTTGTACATTGACGCTCCGACTTGGACTCGAGCAAGTTTTCTCTGGAGTCTGATGTCCTCTATCCTGGCGTGTGCCATAAATCAAATCAAAATATTCCAATTACTTGTTGTGACGGGGTTCTATTTGTCCGTTCACAAACACTGGCCTAGTCGGTTGGGTTACGCTCCAAAAAAACTTTATTCTTAACAGCAACAAAAAAATAACGAAACAGCACACCTTAAACAAACAAAATAAAAGACCAAAACAGGCCGTCCATCACTCATCAGAGTAAACATGCTCTGGGTTGCCTTCTCTGCAACCAACTCCCAAACATGTCCCAGCTGTTGCCTTCATTGCAACATTCCTCCGAGTCCCTCTCCAGGGCCAAAACCGTCCATTTTGAGCCAATAGCCCCTCCCACAGGCTGTATCTCTGTTTCTTATCTATATCTAACAGAACTGCTCGGGTCTTGATCGATTGAGTGGGGAAGTTCATGAGATCTTTCTAGAGGGTTATCAAGAATAACTTTTCTCCAATGACCTTTCCCCTCTCTATCTGTGTCTGTGTATTCTCTTGTTCCGATTAACCCAGCCAAATCTTTGTTCTTGTTTTGTATCTATGTCTACGCCGGGATCCGGAGTCGAGGCTGCTCCTCTTGCTGTGGTCCTGTGTCTTGGATCCTCTATCCTGAGTTCTGGATTAAGTCGTGGACTTCGGGTCGTGGCTGAACCTGTCTCTGCGGTCCTGCCTTGGGTCTCGTCATGCTGCTTCCCTGATGGCTTCCACAGGATTGTTGACATCCTCGTGGATTCATCTTCTTATTACAGACACATGCATTTCCTAACATTCGGTCTATATGCTGTAAAATGTATTATCTCTTGGATTTACACACGGCATCTATTGCACGTCTGTCCGTCCTGGGAGAGGGATCCCTCCTCTGTTGCTCTCCCTGAGGTTTCTCCCATGTTCCCTTTAAACTGTGGGTTTTCTCTGGAAGTTTTTCCCTGTACGATGTGAGGGTCAAAGGATAGAGGGTCTGAGGACAGAGGGTCTGAGGACAGAGGGTCTGAGGTCTCTCTCTCAGAGAATAGTGCAGTGTAAAGTCAGGCAAATGCTTTGATAAAGAGATAGACATTTTTAAAAGGCAGCCAAAACGTATTGGCTTCCCTAATATTGTTGGTTTTGGGGCGTAGTTTACAAAGGCTGCATCACCGATCTTCTTATGACTCTTTCTGGTGACCTCTAATAGACCTGCATCTAATGATCGCAGTGTTCTGGCGGGTGTGTAGTTTATTAGAGAGTCAGCAATGTAGCTGGGTCCTTGTCCATTTAGAGCTTTGTATATGAGGAGAAGCACCTTCAAATCAATTCTGAAAGTTACAGGAAGCCAGTGTAGAGTAGCTAAGACAGGACTAACGTGTTTCCTCCTTTTGGTATTCGTCAGTAGTTAGGCTGCAGAGTTTTGAATGAGCTGGAGTCTTCCAAGAGCTTTCTTGGGGAGACCAGTGAATAGTGCATTGCAGTAGTCTAGATATAAAAGCATGAATTAGCTTCTCTGCATCATTTTGATTTATGAATGGTCTTACCTTCGCTATGTTTCTGAGATGAAAGAAAGCTATTTTGGTCACTTTGTTTAAATGGGAGTTGAAGTCTGAGTCCAGGATGACACCAAGCCTTGTCACCTCCGGTTTAATCCAAGTGGTTAAACTTCCTAGATTATTTGTTAGCATCTCTCTTTTTGAGATAATAATAATGTATTATTATTATTATTAGGCCTATGTGTTGGACATGTGTGGTTGGACTGTGTCTCACAGGCAGTGTAACATCAGAGGAGACTGGGCCAATTGTACATTCTCAAACTGCACCACTTAGAACTAACTAAACAATGCAGAGATTATTTTGATATCATTGTATTCAATAACCGTAAGAAATTAAACCGTATGAAGTGATTTGTAAATAGGAATACAGATTTGACTTAATCTTTTCATAAATATATTTTTCTCCCAGTTTGTCATGGGACTTATTTTGACCCTCTCAAAGAACCGGAATCGAGAACCGAAAATAACCGGAATCGAAAAGCAGAACCGGAATCGTTCAAATCCAAACGATACCCAACCCTTTGTGTGATGCAGTAAAATCTCACCGCTCACTTACGTTAGCGCTGTCGGAAAAACTGTGGGAAAATGTAAAATACGATGGCGAAGAAGAAGATTCCAGTGGCCCCAATTTTTGTCCATTCTGGACAAGTGAAAAATGTATTCGGACAAGTACATTACCAAACTCACTTGTCCATGGACAAGTACTCTCTAAACACTTTTTCTCACACTGGGTTCCTTTTTAGGAAGAGAGCAGGAAATGTTTGGTGTGTGTGTGTGTCGGCTGTTAGTGGCGGAGTCGGTCACTCATGTGATCCGCTCCGTCACTTGTGTTTAGACTCTCTTTGCACTATTTCTATTTACCTGCACTATTGTAACTGTCTGTTTGATTGTGTTGCTCTGTTGGAGGAGCCTAAGATGTTCATTGATATATCTGTAGCTATAATGTATGCATGCAATGTTTATCAATTTGACACTGCTTAAGTTTGTATAGTATTTTTTTGTATTATTGTTTAACCCAGTGGTTCCCAAACTTTTTCAGTCGGGCCCCCCTTGGGAAATTGGAAATATTTTCGGGACCCCCCCCAACCCGGTTCCCATCTATATTGGTAGGATTTATCGTATATTGTTGTAAAAACATGACATTTTCTCTGCTAATAATAAGATCTAAAGATCCAACTATAATTATATTTTCTTATGGATTACACTTGAACAAACGTGCTTGTAAGATACTGTGAATTAATTTGGCCTAATTCAAACTGGTTGGCCTTCTTCCCCGAGTAGATTTTTAAATTCAAATTTCTTTAAGGAAAATATATGAACTAACTACTATTTCTACTGCAGGTAGCAAACGATCACATCACGTTACCATTCCTATTCCACTCATCAATGACTTGTGTGTGCTTGCTGTCCCTCGCAGATCTTCTCACAGCGGGGCTGCTGTTTTGAGACACTCTCAGTTCATTCTCAATGTTCAGCTTTGATCTGCATTTCGTTTTGATGACAGCAGAAAAAGCCGATCTCACACAAGTAGGATGTTGCAAAAGGCAGCGTTCTGCCCACAGCTCTCTGACCAATGAGATATTTACGAGCAGTGTTTGTTTACAATTGAATAATAATAATAATAATAATTAGGGATGCACGATATTGGTTTTTTGAAACCGATACCTTCCTGCTTCTCAAGACCGATATCGATAATAATATAATATATATATATATATTAAATGTACCTGTAGTTTTTGCACACCTGGTGGTAAAACAAAGACTAGTAGTGAGCAAATGACGTGAGCGTTACTACTATGAACAAAACAAAGCCAAGAACAGTTTTGACTCTCGTCAAGCGCCATCATTTCTATGATGAAGTTAGAGATCGTTTTAGCCCTGGGGTCGTCTCTGGCAAACTTCTTGCCTTTTCCAAAAGCCTCGTGGATAGGTAAAAGCCCCGGTGCCTTTGCAGCTGGCTTTGGATTCGCCGCTAGTTTAGCAGCGCAGGCGTCTTCGTACGCTTTTAACACACCATCGTAGCGATGGCGATGTTTCAGGTGACTAATCAGGTTGGAAGTATTATAGCTCGTTGCCTTTTTCCCTCCTCGTGGAACTTCTGCATTTGTTAATACAAATAGCAAGCGAACTATCTAACTCTGAAGCTTTGAAATAGTCCCATACCACCGGCGACATGTTTGTTTACTGTCCTGGCTTCACGGCCGCACACCATTTACGTCACAGCCAGGCATGAGTTAGGAAGCGCTGGATTTGTGAAGAACTCCCCTCTTCCTAAACCACTAATACCACAGTACTGGCAAAACGGGAGGAGCCGAGTGAAAAACAAGCGCCCCTCATCCCAATCCACCCACCGCAGTATTTCTTTTTTTCTACCCAAAACATATATTGTATATTATCGGCGCTATTAATACTGGTATCGGGATGACGTCATAATTCCTAATATCGGACCGATAATTATCGGGCACCACTAATAATACATTTGATTTATATAGGTGCACTTTAAAATCAACGTCCTCTCAAGGAGCTTCACAAAGCTAAAAGGAGAAAATAATAAAATCTTCCCGCGACCCCCCTGCAGTACCTCCGCGACCCACCAGGGGTCATGCCCCACAGTTTGAAAACCACTGGTTTAACACATTCGAAACAAATCAACATCTTGAATAAGGAAAGATACGTATATATTTACCTTCTTCTGCTTGTTGGTCATGTCGGTGTGCGCGCCCGCCTCCACCAGGCTGATGATGATGGCGTGCAGCGTGAGGAAGTCGCTGATTGGCCGGTTGTACTGAACGATGACGTGCAGCGGCGTGTTTCCCTCGTGGTCCACGGCGTTCACCGGCGCGCCGCAATCCAGCAGCAGCTTCGTGACCTGAGCGCTCGGGAAACTGCACACGTCGTTGGTGTGGAAGTCGTCCACCGGCGTGCTGGAGCTGATGGCGAGATGAAGCAAAGACGCGCCGTCACGAGAACGCGGGTCCATCTGGATCAGGTCGTAGATGTGCTTGTTGATGCGCGCGCGATCCTGCTCGCCACAGTTGGTCTTCGTAGTAATGCAGACAAGGTACAGGAAGGTGAACACGTTGGACTCGTAGTTGTCCAGCGCCGACGGTAGTTCTGCCTCGGTGGCGGTTTCAACCCTCGCCATGCTGCGTTGGATCTCCAGCACGCTGCAACTCAACACCTGCTCCACGCTCGGCGCAACAACGCGCTCTTTCAGATGCACCATCTGCGAGAACACCTGCGCGAAGCGAAGCAGGTCTTTGTGCGTGTTGCGGTTGCCTTTCTGCCGCAACCTCAACGCGTGAAGCCACAGTTTGATGCACTGCTCGAACTCCATGTTGTCGGCGTAGACGGCGCCGCGGTAGATGATCGGATGAGACACGTCGATGTTATCGGAGCCGAGAACGCGCTCTCGTATCATCAAACCCTCCATGTGCAGCGCATCTCGATCCACTCTGATGGCTTCCAGATCCGACATCGTACGACACTCGGTTCGCCCACCGTACGCCTCGATGGCAGGAAGAAGCTCCTTCGCGATAACGTTGTTTGGATGGCGATGCCTCTCCATCATCGCCATGTGCAGGTAGTGATACGTCCTCTGGATATCGTAGTTCTCGCGGTCGTTGGCAAAGGAAGCGCCGAGTAGCTCCAACGCTTCGATGCGACTCTTTGCATCGCAATCGGCGTGTTCCAGCAACAACTCCACGACCTCCGCTTTGCAACTTTCCGCCGCTACTTTCAGAGGAGTCATACCATGCCCGTTCACCACCATGTTGGCATGGCATCGCACCAACTCCTTCACGATCTCAAGGTGCCCCGCTTCTGCCGCGAAATGCAAAGCAGTCGCCCCACAGTGCGCCTTGGCGTTGGGATCGGCGCCGCGTTCAAGCAGGAACTGGACGACATCAGCGTGCCCTTTGTACGCGGCGATCATCAGGCAGGTGTTGTTGTACTTGTTGGTGATTCGGATGTCGGCGTTGTGCTCCACCAGGAAGCGCACGATGTCCAGGCGTCCGTCGAAGCAGGCGGCGCGTAGAGGCGTGGAGTTGGTGATGGTGGTGTGGTTCACGTTGGCGCGGTGGCTCAGGAGGAGGCGGACCACGTCAAAGTGTCCGGCACCCGCAGCGCACCACAGGGCCGTCGCTCCGTCGATCACGTAGCTGTTAGAGAGAGAAGAAGAGCGGGAACTCAGAAAACTGACTCATCTTCACACTGAAAACAGAGAAGAAGAAGAGAGGAGCAACCGTCTGATTGGTCTCTGGTTTTATTTAACATCTTAAGGAAGAATATGTAGTTTCCTTAAACCTTAATTGTTTTTATGATTCGTCTTGGTGGTTTGCAGGAACTCAGAAAACTGATTCATCTTCACAATATATAGAAATGTTATTGATTGGGATAAACCCCTTGAGATGCACCATCTCGTTTCCAAGGGGGTCCCGACAAAAGCAACAACTTACAGACAGACATAAACAAAAAGACAAGCCACATACAGTCTGTCAAGTGAAATGAAAACAGACAAAAGCAACCGTCTGATGTGCTTCTGATTTTAACATAAAACATCTAAAGGAAGAATAGTTCTGTCTCGCTACACCTCAAGTGTTTTTATGATTGGTCATTGTTTCAGTATTTTTGTAAACAAAGACATTTACGTCCAAAATAACTTGTATATTTTGGAAAAGCTCAAATCAAAGAATTATCACTAAACACAGAGGAAACTTTCTTTAGCCTGTCTCGTGACGTCACAGTGTGTGTGAGTGTGAGTGTGAGTGTGTGTGTGTGTGTGTGTGTGTGTGTGTGAGAGAGAGAGTGAGTGAGAGTGTGAGTGTGAGAGAGAGAGTGTGAGAGAGAGAGTGTGAGAGTGAGTGTGAGTGTGAGTGTGAGAGTGAGTGTGTGTGTGTGTGTGTGTGTGTGTGTGTGTGTGTGTGTGTGTGTGTGTGTGTGTGTGTGAGAGAGTGTGAGCGTGAGAGAGAGTGTGAGAGTGAGTGTGAGTGTGAGAGTGAGTGTGCGTGTGAGAGTGTGTGTGAGTGTGAGAGTGTGTGTGTGAGAGAGAGAGAGAGAGAGTGTGAGTGTGAGTGTGTGTGTGTGTGTGTGTGTGTGGTGTGTGTGTGTGTGTGTGTGTGGGTGTGTGTGTGTGTGTGTGTGTGTGTGTGGTGTGTGTGTGTGTGTGAGAGAGAGAGAGTGTCTACAGAGAAGCCAACAGACTCACCTGCGTTACTCATGATTTGAAATTATTTTTAATGTGAAAAAAAAAGTTGTCACTTGGTTTTTTATTTTCTACTGAAACAACAACGAGGAGAGAGAATGATCTTAATCAGCTTTTAGTTCATGTTTTATTAAATGTTCTGCTTGTGACATAATCCTTCTCATATGAAAACTGTGTGTGTGTGTGTGTGTGTGTGTGTGTGTGTGTGTGTGTGTGTGTGTGTGTGTGTGTGTGTGTGTGTGTGTGTGTGTGAAGCAGGAAAAACCAGCTCCCAGTTTCAGTTCAGAGGAGAGACCGGTTTCTGTCGTGAGGCTGACGTGAAACAAAACCTAACTCAGGGAAATATGAACGTTCGTTGTTTTTACACGTGACTAAATGTTCTGAACACACCGATGCTTCTTCTGGAACAAAATCATTTCCTAAATTGGGATCAAATAGAGTGTTTATATAAAACGTATATTTCTTATATATAAAAATCATATTATGTATTTTTAATAATGGCTTTTGATTAAGTTTTAAGATTGAATCATTCACACAATATGTTTAAAACATGGCATTTTTTTTATTTTAGCATTTTACGAGTCATTTGTCTTTTAGTCTCTATTGGATTTTAATTTAAGTATCTGTTGTTATTTTAATTTGTTATTTGCATATCTGTTTTAATTGTATTTTTAGTGGCTGCTTTAATTGTTGTTAGTGTCTGTTGGATTTTAAATGTCGTTTCATTTTGTATCTTAGAAGTGTGCTGTCTTTTTTGGGGAGGGGGGGGGGAATCTTGTCTGTTAACATTTGTATTATTTAAATGTTCTCTTTAATCTGCTTTATTTGAACGTGTGTCTCTACATCTCATATGTAGACTCTTTTACATGAAGCCCTCACAAACAGTTAGACATGTTTTAACACAAAGTAGTCCCTCTCACCCGTCGAACCGCACGGTGCCGGTCTGCTCCGTGTTGACCCGGTAGTGATCCACCAGCAGCCGGACCACCTTGTCGTGTCCGTTCCGGGCCGCGATGATGAGCGGAGTGGACCTCTGGCCGGCCACCTGGGTCACATGGCTCAGCAGGAACCGCACCTCCTCCTCCGGGTGGTTGTGCAGCAGCGCGGCCAGCGTCAGGACCCGGCCTTCGCTGGCCGCCTTGAACACGTACCCGGCCAAAGGCTCCATGTGGACCCGGTACACAGCAGCCAGGTCCCCGGTTCCAGCAGCAGCCTGATCCCCGTCCGCAGCGAGGAGCCTCCCATTAAAGAGTCCAAACCCGGCCCGGTGCACACATGAAAAATCCACCTTCTCCGTAATGCAAGGAAAAAAAAAAAATCAGGGTTCGAGGGGCGTTTTTACAACTCACGGGTCCGATTCTAAGTGATCTTTTTCGGGTTGGTTTTCTCGAAGAGCCGCTGATAGCCGGTTAGCTTAGCGTGCTAAAGTTAGCGAGCTAACAAACTAACAAAATACACCTATGTAATGCAAAAAAAAAATAATCACGGTTCGAGAGGCGTTTTTACAACTCAAGGGTCCGATTCTGAGCGATAAATTCCGGGTTGGTTCTCTCCGGGAGCCGCTGATAGCCGGTTAGCTTAGCGTGCTAATGTTAGCGAGCTAACAGACTAACCAACGGCCGCTTTTTGAACTCCACCGTCTGTTCGGAATCAAACTGACGCCGTGTTGTTGGTGGTAAAAGAGAGTCTCGTGGAGAAGTTTCTGGATTAAAACTCAACACGAAGGAAGATTTTAAACAAAAACAAGCTCTTTCACCTTCTGTGAAACTAGTCCTGTACCGGAAGTTAGCGTTCAACTTAAAAATAGCTCCGACGGGAACTGTCTCCGGATGATATAAGTTCCCTTAGACGGACTTCCTCTTCTGTTTAAAAACTACAAAAAACTGCAATGACTACAAAAGGTACAAAGAGGAATTACAATCCTGAAATAATGTTAGTAAAAATAAATACAAATATCTTAATTCAAACAATAGTAACACACAAAAGCGTTTAAAATCGTCACTTTGAATGCAGAACTTTTGGTTAATTTACTCAAATCTGAACCAGACAAAATAACGAAATATTCTGACACTTTAAGAAGATTTTAAGATGAATTCTCCAATTAATATTAGCAGCATAAACATTACTTATGTCCTAAAGTAGTGCTTTTTCCCGTAATAATAACGTTAGACAGACAGCCCTTTAAAACGCCACCGTCTGTTCAGATTAAACTGGAGCCGTGTTAAAGGAAGTAAAAGAGACTCAGCTGGAGATTAAAACTCAAACCGAGTGGATGATTTGAAACACAAACGAGCTCTTTCACCTTCTGTGAAACTAGTGTTATATAGGAAGGTGCCGTTCAACTTAAAAATAGCTCCGACGGGATCTCACTCCAGATGATTTAAGTTCCCATACACGGACTTCCTCTGTGTGTTTTTTTAACAGCACAGCACTTTATTGAACAGTGACAATGACTACAGAGGTGCACGATGGAATACAAACCCAGAAATAATAGTTAGGGCCACATGAGAAAACATATTTTGGATGTCACGAAGGGTAACGGGAGTTAATTTGTTTGTATTTACAAAATTAACAAAGTACAAATAAAAGGAAAACTTTAAAATCGTAATTTTTTATGCAGAACTTGAGTAAAAGTAGAAGTACTCAGATCTTGTACTTTAGTAAAAGTAGAAGTACTCAGATCTTGTTCTTAGTAAAAGTAGAAGTACCCAGATATTGTACTTGAGTAAAAGTAGAAGTACTCAGATCTTGTAGTTGAGTAAAAGTAGAACTCAGATCTTGTTCTTAGTAAAAGTAGAAGTACTCAGATCTTGTGCTTGAGTAAAAGTAGAAGTACTCAGATCTGGTACTTCAGTAAAAGTAGAAGTACTCAGATCTTGTACTTGAGTAGAAGTACTCAGATCTTGTACTTGAGTAAAAGTAGAAGTACTCAGATCTGGTACTTGAGTAAAAGTAGAAGTACTCAGATCTTGTACTTGTGTAAAAGTAGAAGTACTCAGATCTTGTACTTGAGTAAAAGTAGAAGTACTCAGATCTTGTACTTGAGTAAAAGTAGAAGTACTCAGATCTGGTACTTGAGTAAAAGTAGAAGTACTCAGATCTTGTACTTGAGTAAAAGTAGAAGTACTCAGATATTGTACTTGAGTAAAAGTAGAAGTACCCAGATATTGTACTTGAGTAAAAGTAGAAGTACTCAGATCTTGTAGTTGAGTAAAAGTAGAACTCAGATCTTGTTCTTAGTAAAAGTAGAAGTACTCAGATCTTGTACTTGAGTAAAAGTAGAAGTACTCAGATCTGGTACTTGAGTAAAAGTAGAAGTACTCAGATCTTGTACTTGAGTAGAAGTACTCAGACCTTGTACTTGAGTAAAAGTAGAAGTACTCAGATCTGGTACTTGAGTAAAAGTAGAAGTACTCAGATCTTGTACTTGTGTAAAAGTAGAAGTACTCAGATCTTGTACTTGAGTAAAAGTAGAAGTACTCAGATCTTGTACTTGAGTAAAAGTAGAAGTACTCAGATCTGGTACTTGAGTAAAAGTAGAAGTACTCAGATCTTGTACTTGAGTAAAAGTAGAAGTACTCAGATATTGTACTTGAGTAAAAGTAGAAGTACCCAGATATTGTACTTGAGTAAAAGTAGAAGTACTCAGATCTTGTAGTTGAGTAAAAGTAGAACTCAGATCTTGTTCTTAGTAAAAGTAGAAGTACTCAGATCTTGTACTTGAGTAAAAGTAGAAGTACTCAGATCTGGTACTTGAGTAAAAGTAGAAGTACTCAGATCTTGTACTTGAGTAGAAGTACTCAGATCTTGTACTTGAGTAAAAGTAGAAGTACTCAGATCTGGTACTTGAGTAAAAGTAGAAGTACTCTGATCTTGTACTTGAGTAAAAGTAGAAGTACTCAGATCTTGTACTTAAGTAACAGTAGAAGTACTCAGATCTTGTGCTTGAGTAAAAGTAGAAGTACTCAGATCTGGTACTTCAGTAAAAGTAGAAGTACTCAGATCTTGTACTTGAGTAGAAGTACTCAGATCTTGTACTTGAGTAAAAGTAGAAGTACTCAGATCTGGTACTTGAGTAAAAGTAGAAGTACTCAGATCTTGTACTTGTGTAAAAGTAGAAGTACTCAGATCTTGTACTTGAGTAAAAGTAGAAGTACTCAGATCTTGTACTTGAGTAAAAGTAGAAGTACTCAGATCTGGTACTTGAGTAAAAGTAGAAGTACTCAGATCTTGTACTTGAGTAAAAGTAGAAGTACTCAGATATTGTACTTGAGTAAAAGTAGAAGTACCCAGATATTGTACTTGAGTAAAAGTAGAAGTACTCAGATCTTGTAGTTGAGTAAAAGTAGAACTCAGATCTTGTTCTTAGTAAAAGTAGAAGTACTCAGATCTTGTACTTGAGTAAAAGTAGAAGTACTCAGATCTGGTACTTGAGTAAAAGTAGAAGTACTCAGATCTTGTACTTGAGTAGAAGTACTCAGATCTTGTACTTGAGTAAAAGTAGAAGTACTCAGATCTGGTACTTGAGTAAAAGTAGAAGTACTCAGATCTTGTACTTGTGTAAAAGTAGAAGTACTCAGATCTTGTACTTGAGTAAAAGTAGAAGTACTCAGATCTTGTACTTGAGTAAAAGTAGAAGTACTCAGATCTGGTACTTGAGTAAAAGTAGAAGTACTCAGATCTTGTACTTGAGTAAAAGTAGAAGTACTCAGATATTGTACTTGAGTAAAAGTAGAAGTACCCAGATATTGTACTTGAGTAAAAGTAGAAGTACTCAGATCTTGTAGTTGAGTAAAAGTAGAACTCAGATCTTGTTCTTAGTAAAAGTAGAAGTACTCAGATCTTGTACTTGAGTAAAAGTAGAAGTACTCAGATCTGGTACTTGAGTAAAAGTAGAAGTACTCAGATCTTGTACTTGAGTAGAAGTACTCAGATCTTGTACTTGAGTAAAAGTAGAAGTACTCAGATCTGGTACTTGAGTAAAAGTAGAAGTACTCTGATCTTGTACTTGAGTAAAAGTAGAAGTACTCAGATCTTGTACTTTAGTAAAAGTAGAAGTACTCAGATCTTGTACTTGAGTAAAAGTAGAAGTACTCAGATCTTGTACTTGAGTAAAAGTAGAAGTACTCAGATCTTGTACTTGAGTAAAAGTAGAAGTACCAGAGTGTAGGAATACTCTGTTACAGTAAAAGCATTCAAAATGTTCCTCAAGTGAAAGTATAAAGTATTCTCATCAAAATATAGTGAAAGACAGTGAAAAGTAGTCGTTGTGCAGATTGGTCCATTTCAGAATAATATATATGATATGTTTTATAATGATTGATCATGAAAGTGTTCTCAAAGCTGGTGAAGGTGCAGCTAGTTTGAAGTACTTTGTATACTGCAGGGTAGCTGGTGGATTTACTCCAGGTGGAACTAAAGTCTGATTCAACACTTGGTTAGATTTCACATCATTCATCCAGATCTGTGAAGTAACTAAAGGTATTAAATACATGTAGTGGAGGAAAAGTACACCATGTACCTCTGAACTAGGGTAGAAGCACACAGTAGCATAACATGGAAATACTCAAGTAAAGTACCTCAACAATGTACTTATGTTACAGTACTTGAGTAAATGTATTTAGTTACTTAACACCTCAGTTGTTGGATCTTTTAGGATGTTTTGCAGATTCCCCTAAATAAAGGTTTTGAATGCAGGATGGTTTCAGTGATTGAATCATCCAGGTGTTCCTGATCAGTGAAACTCATCGTTTCCTGACTGTTGTTTAAACCAGATTAAATCTCTCCAGTAAAACATCGGGGGGTTTATACAGATTACGGCTTTATCTGCACGCAGATTACCTGCAGTTTAACTGAGAGGAGGCTGTTTCTTATCATCAAACCATTCACTTTCTTTCAGTCCAGGGACAACAGCTTCAGGGAGGAAACGCTGGGAAGAAGAGGATCTATTTATCATTTGATCTGGAAGCTAATTAGGATACATGATGGAGGAGTGGAGGTCATCATCTCTGCTGACCACCTGATGTTTCTCTCACTGCTTAAATACTGTGATATTGTTTAAATCATATAATATGCAGTCGTTCACCAGGAAGAGGAAGAACCCGGCTCTGCTTGCAGCGACGCTCATGGGCAGGTTTGTCAAATTCAACTTTATTTTCTTGAAGATTAATTTAAAATGTCTTCCTAGCTATTTTACTGTGCTTGAAAGTGTTGCTTCCATACAACTTGTGCTGCTGGCTCCCGTCTTTGAGCGGCGCCCTGCTGCTGTGTCTCTGGCTGGTGTGTTAGTGTGAATATCCTGCTCACATAATGCATGCTGAATGAAAGTGAAAGCAGCAGCTGGACATTAGCACTCCTGCGCTGGATGTGTGACACAGAGGATCAGAGCAGATTAACGCTGCAGGAAATCCACTTTCTCAGAGTTTAGGGGTTTTTGGAGGCGAGCATACATCAGGTCACGACTGCCTGCAGTACTCTCGGATGGAAGTTACACTTTGATCCAGACAGAAATATCTTCTAACTTTGGGATGTGATGAAATGTTTTTACATTCAAGCAGCAACATCCAGGTCTGAAGCCAAAGTGCCTTAAACCCATTATTCTCTCTAAGTCTGATTGTATAGAAGTCTATGAGAAAAGGCCCCTTATTGTCACTTGATTTATTAGCTCAGATTGTGTAGAAGTCTATGAGAAATAAGCCGGTACTTCTCTCGATCTATCACCTCAGTAAACAGTTTCCTGATAAGTTTATGTCTTAATATCTAATAATAAGTCTTCTTCAATACGGCTTGATGGCCATAAAGTACATAATGGTCTCTTTCAGATTCAAAGTATGTGGGAGCTACCTCTGATTGACTGGTTGCGACCACGCTGTCCCACAACTTTAACACTTTCACAGTTTATGTATTCACTTTCAGACCTATGTTCTATGTCTGTGCGCTGCGGCTAACCGCTTAGCTTAGCATCCTTTGTTAGCTGTTGGTGCCGTGGTTTGTGTGTGTCTCTCTCCCCCTCTCCCCCTGAGTGTCTCCCTCCAGGTGCAGCCGCTCCCTCAGGTGCTCCCAATCCCCAATCAGGGCCTCCATAAAGGACTTGAGGAAGGCTGCAGCTTCCTTCTCCTGTGAGCTGCATGGATGGCAGTGGGTGGTCTGTGCAGCAGTGTAGTATTTTGTTGTCTATGTTGGACGTGCAATTTGTAGAAGTTCTGAGTAGTGTCTTGGTTTACTGTTGTCGCTTTCTTTTATGAGAAAGTTGTTTTGGTTTGTCGTGAGTTTGCATTTCAAATTGGCTGGCGAGGCTCTTTACTTTCTTTGACTAATTCAAACATCACTTTGTGGCTTCACGGATCAGTTGCCTCTCCCTAGTCCAGGAGGGAACGGAACATAGGGCTCTAAATCACCTCTGGATTGGTATTCTCAGGTTAATCAATCAATCTGGCACTAATGTACATTCCCAAAGATATTGAAGTTATTTTGTATATTTTAATTGTGGTGTTTTTATCTTAATGTGTTTAAATGTGTCTTGATTGTGTCTGTATATATATATATATATATATATATTGTTAACTGTGATGGTTATTCTCGCGTCCAGGAAAGAGAAGCTTAAAAGGGAGACTAAATGGAGTCTCTGAGATGTTTTCAAATTGGTACTTTAATTAATAAAAAGGCGTGGTACAGTCACAAACAGGATATTGTCCGACAGAAAAGCAGCTGTCTCTGGCCCTCGCTAGCAGAGAAAAGGGGGGCCGAACCGCTCAGGTGCTGCTCTTATATAGCTTCTGTAGGCTCCTCCCTTCGGGCCGGCCCTCCACATCTTAATGTCCGTTGTTACGTTTAAACAGAGGATTCAGGCATTGTACATTAACGTTGTAGTTAATATTCTAAAAAATACAGAAAATACTTCACGGCTGGTTTGGTTTCTGGTCATTCCGGATGTTGTCACATCTTACCCACGTCTGTAAACAATAACTTTATTCAAATAAACTATACCTTCATTTAATATTCAGCAATAATAATACATCTATAGTTGCAGTGTTAAAATCAGTAGGTTTCGGTGTGCATCACTCCATGTCATTTCGCTACTAAATTAACCTCTATAAGAAATGGTAAACTAGCCACATGCTAACCGGAGATGAAGGATTTTCAGAATAAAAGCTTAACTGGTTGTGCACAATAATTTTCTGGTTTTTCAGTATAAAACAGCATTTAAACTGAAGGTACATTTAAGGTACATTATGCCATCAAAACATTGATTTTAATTTCTAACAATCCCTCCTTACACACCTAAAAGGTGTGTATAATACTGAAATCAATGAGTTCTTCATCTGAACTCTGCACAGTACATAACTCATATCAAAAACATACAATCAAAATGGAATGGTTCGAATATCCTCAACTTTACAAAAATACAAAAATACTTTGACTGTGTTCAAACATAAAAGTTTTCCCTTGTGCATAACTTCTAGTGTTAACATTCAATATGGTTCTTCAAAATAGCAGGAATGGCTTGGTATCAGAACATTTCTTCCTCCCTCCTTTCACAGAAACCGTTCTTATAGTACGCTCAGTGTTAAAGCACTTGTTTTTTACAAAGTGAAAATAAACTATTCATTTTAGAATTGTAATGATTCGAAAATACATGAAATCTACCATATAGAACAGTGAAAAATAATAAAAATGAAATAAACTATCTTGTACCAGTGTAATGTAATAATAAAACAAAAAATACACTATCTTGGAATAGTATAGAGTAATTAAAAATAAAAATACACTATCTTGGAATAGTATAGAGTAATTAAAAATAAAAATACACTATCTTGGAATAGTATAGAGTTCAGTGAAATGGATTCACTCCATTTTAGCATTTTATTTTGCTCACTTCTTCAGATGATTTCATCATTTAAAGAGTCACATCGGCTGGACATTCATTGAACAACCTCATCTCTGAACATCCATATCGTTTAACATCATTCAAACTAACTCATAATTTTCATCAACATCTGTATTGGGGTGGGCCGTCTTGTTCTACTAGCATTTGTAACTGTCTCCTCATGAGAAATGTACCCTCCCTCCTTTCATACCATTTAAGGTATGAAAGTAATATGTTCTCTAGAAGAGGCCGTCGTGATCAATCGGTATTTTAGGACATGGAATGAGTGCTACATTTAGGCCTCCCCTGGGCGCCCCTATGCTATCCTTTTACCCTGGAGCCTAAACTCCCCCTGGGACTGGTCTCTTAGCCCTACTGGCTTTGGGGTGGTCTGTTCTAATACAGTGATAAAGTCCCTGAAATGGTGTGAAAACCGGTGGAATATCAATAACTCATTATACTAATTTATTTTCATTCTGGTCTACTTAAATAACTATGCTAACCCCCTTTAACAGTGTGTGGAACCTTGGGTGCTCTAACAAGGACTTCAAAAACAGAAGTCATTTAATGGTTTGTAGTTCAATTCAGGAATTTTCACTCATGGCAGATATGTTTCTCCTTTTAAATAACATCTCTAAATGTCAGGTCATCACTGATTAAATGGAGGAGCATTAGGAGGTGGTGGCACTTGTCTTTTAAAACTCATACTCTGGTGCCGTGCGCTCCCTCTGAAGCTGCAAGTAAGATTTAAAACATCTGCAGGGTGGGTTGAGCAACCCCTTCTCCCTGAACGATATTTATTGTTGAAAATATGCACCATTAAAATGAGTGATCCAAGGCCCCGCATGTATTACTCCCAATTATACTAGTTTTTTCAAAATTAAAATCTTCAATCGCTCTTTGCCTAGTGTCTTTTAAAACTCTACATCTTGGACGAGAAACAAATGTTGTTTCCACCTTAACAGTTCTCCTATGGTAATAACCATGCTACAATGGTGAAACCAATACTCTAGATTGGAATACTTTCTTTGGCTTGGTTCCAGCTCTACCTTTAACATTTTCCATTCAAATAAAGATTTGCCTGCTATCTATATTGTAACAAATTAAATCTTCCCCAAATTCTCACATGAATAAGAATCTCTATAAGAATAATTTGTTTATTTTATGAAAAGATTGAATAATATGTTCTACCCTCCGTGTGTTTTTAGGATTATTTTCTAATAAGTGTGTTTATGTGTAAACTCACTCACTCCTGTGTTCCTTCTCTCCCCCTCTGGTCGTCGAGCCACGACCCCCTCACGTTCTGCTGGCCCATGCCAACTCCTCTGGTTCTGTCTCCTCCTCCATCCTGTCTTCTCCTCAGTCCATCCGCACTTGGATCTTCCCGCTGTAATTCTTTCAGTGGCCCAACTGCTTTGCATTTCATCTCCTCCTTTTCAGTCTCTACGCTGTTGCATGGAGTGGTGTATTCTGCTCTCATGTCCCACACTCCGCTATTGTGCCAAATCTCGCGGCTCAGTTTTGAACTTCATGTCCTGTTTGAGGGACCGATGAGTTTGCCTCTTTGTCAGCATGCTGGTTTGGTTCTGGATGCCTCAGGTGGAGATGGTTCTGGATGCCTCAGGTGGAGATGGTTCTGGATGCTTCAGGTGGAGATGGTTCTGGATGCCTCAGGTCGTTGTTGGTTCAGCTCGGGTAGTCTGTCTGTTTGATGGAGGAGGAGGAGTCTCCTGTGGTGAGGTCATTTGTCTGAAGATGGGGTCGTAGCAGTCTGACAGGCAGAGAGAGAGAGAGAGAGATCTCGGGCCGCATTACCTATAGCTAATTCTAACACACTGAGGTAAAATATATCCAATCCTTTCCACTCTATTTTCCTAATCTTACTATCTGTCTTAGATGTTAAATGTCATCTAAACCCAATTAATGTCTACTAATGGTTGTGCCATATCCCTAAACATTGTTTCCACCCACTGTAACATGGCTACTTCAAATAACTCTTTCAGGAAACCATTTTCTTCTATAAATTAAAAATACCTACATGTTTCAAGCACCACATATTTCACACACTATAAAAGAACGTCCCCATATTTTCTCCATTACTTTAAATCTCACTGTTATTTAGAACATAAGTAACTTTTGTGACTGCACATATCTGCAATGTCGCCACAATCTGCTGGGGAATTTTGTTCATAGAGTTTGTACGTACAAAGCTGTACTTGTGGGTTAGTAGCCTGTTTCTACTGTAATCATTTTTCTATAATTGTGCT